AGATAGTGCTCGATCTCCGCTACAAGAATAGATAATCAAATTAAATCAACGTTGTTTAGTTCAAATGGACGACTCAAAATACAAAAGTGGGGCGAGACTTATGACCCCCACTGTATTTCAAATCCTATTATGCATTTTGTTGTGGGTACCTAAGTGAAACAAAGCACTTTATGGAACATGTAAGTCGATATTTTCCGTTACTTTTTGTCAGATTCTTCTCTCATTTTTCCAACGCAGATCAATAGTAACCCTTAGTAATCTAAGTTGCATATAGTATGTCATTTATTTCTCTTTTCTTTTGACAATACTCTTTCTTATTTGTAAGTTGATCTTCTAATTATTATGATCTTAAATCAGATTTAAATAAAATAATGTTCTACGATATATTGTGCAAACGTTATTATATTTGAATTGAACTGACAGAACATAATAAGATAGTACATCGATTTTCTAGAATACCCTATTCGAGTTAGTGGATCATAATAGGATATATATTTTTTCTTATACTTTTTTTGTCAACAGGATAGGTAAGAATGGTGCGAGCTGAGTATCCTCTCACCAAATTTTTGAGTAATTCTCTTATTTTTTTTTCTTAATATAGTTTTCAATGTTTTTAAGAAATTTTTAGATTGTTTTCGAAAAAATCGTCAACTTTCCTAATATTTTCCGCCTTCAAATACTCGTACCTCTCCCTTCTCGTGTGGCACGATGTAATAATATCACTCTGTAAGCAACTTTCATTCTAGAAAGTACACATTCGTTTATCTTTCAAATCAAAATGCTAAACACTACAGGAAAAATATTTCGCAAATGAAACTAGATATCTTACTTATTATTGTTAACGCATAAAACAAAAGAATATTGTAGACAGATGACGAGAAATATGTTTTTCGAGTAGATTCAAGTAAAAAAAGCTTGATATAAGTAAACTAGTGACAAAGCCAGATAAAAGTTCTGTAGAAAGTTCAGCCTCAGTTGATATTGCAGCTCAAAATGACTAATATACATATCAGAAAAAAAAAGAACATGGATATCTTTTGAATAACTTTTGTTTGAAGTATGCTAGAGACTTTTGGTCTTCACCACTCGATGAAGGTAACAATGCATCAAACCCTATGTTACCGATTTTCTAGCATGTTTTTTTTTGTGGTTCTTTTTTCTGATTTCTTTGAAAAAAACAACTTTTTGAGACAGATCAATAGAGTAAAGCTTTATGAAAATATAGTAAAAAAAGTAATTCTTCTGTTAATTTTACGAAGAAATTGCCTAGTTTATCACTAGTAAATGCCTACGATTCATAATGAGCTGACTCTGATAATGTTTTTTCTATTTGTTTTTACAGATCTTTGATTGATAGTTCTAACGCATATCTCAAAAATTGAAAATTCATCATAGTGATTTCATGATCTAAATGAATTTTCGTAACGCTCAATCCAAAACTTCAAGAAAACATGTCAGAAAATCTATAGGACAGGACAGGACCTTATGCATCTTCCTATCCCATTTCGAATACTGAAATCATATATTTTGTCTGTTATAGATCTCTTATTGAGTGTTATTTTATTGAAGTGATGCTCTAGTGTTTTAGTTGAAACAATTAAAATAAATTGTTCGTACAGATGTCTGAAATATAGGCATTAAAAAATGTTAAGGTATTTCTATGAATATTATTCAGCAGAAATGTGAGTGAACATTAAAGAAATGCATGTTCTAAGCAAATGCAATGCACTATTTCTTTAGAAACGTCACTCTAGATTCTAGCAAATAGTTGAGAATAACACCATTCTCATTTGCATCCTACTTGATAATTCAAGTCTTTCAGAAAAACAAACAGGTTCAATTATTCTTTCCTGATGGAAGGGCGAAGTGAATTGAAAGTTTCTGAATGAAATTTAGATTCATCCAGATACTCCTAAACTCTTTCACTAATATCAACCACATTTTGTTGTTGAACCAGTCAAAACTCATGAGAAGAAAAGAGAATATTAATGTATATCATATATTCAATCAAATAGTGAGTAGGATAAATTGATTTCATTTTGAATATTTAGACTTTCATGGATATTATCACATGAAATGATTCGATACAGTTATACATATAAACTGAATTCTTTTCAAAGAATAAATTTAATCTGATAACTGTTATACATTAAACAGTCTTGTTCAACAAATCATAGACAATTTTTCGAAAATATTAGATCTTAAGATTTTCTATTCTATCTAATACATTATAATAATCATAGTATTTTCTTTTTTAGGTTCTTCCTGAATCTATTCATCATCATATTGAATCATCATTAGTTCAACATATATTATTACTTGCTGATAGCTTTTCGTCATTTATAAATCAATCAATGATACCTTGTAAACAGCCTTTATCAACATCTGATGTTCCAATAGCAAAAGATGAATATTTAGATAATCGAACGTTACAAAATAAATCTGTTGATAAAAATTCGATAAAAACAAATATAGGTTCACAACAATCTCTCTCATCATGTATTAATCCAAGTATCAAACATAAACAAGATATTGTAAATTCAGATATTCGTTCAAAATTATATGATGATAAAGTTTGTAAATTTGAGAAACAAAATGCCATAGAAAGATTTCTTTCTAATGATAATGAACTTTTCTGGCGTATTAATAACATTCAAGATTTATTTCAGAATGCAAAAAAAGCTTCTGAACCAACATATGTTAGTTCTTCATTTCACATTGAGAATAGTCCCTATCAAATTTCATTAAAATTATATTTAAATGGTGATAATATAGGACGAAATATGTATTTATCATTATATTTTAGAATAATACGTGATCCTTCTTATTCATACATGAATGAATCATATCGTTATGCACAAGTATTATTATGTTTATATGATAATAGTTCCGGTCATAAACATGTCATTCATAAAATAACACCGGAAATAAATAATGAACATGTTGAACAACAAACAATCCATGAAAATGAATGGAATAAAATATCAGAATTTTGTCTATTATCAATGGTATTAAGTAAAGACTATGGTTTTATTAATCAAAATACCATGATTATTAAAACATGTATAGATTTTCATAACTCCCAATAAAGAAATCGTTAAATATTTGTATAAAATAGTCTTTTTTTTCGTATAGCTTAATAAAAGAAAATTTCACAGATGTGGAATATTAATTAATATATGTAAAAGTAGAAAATGTATTTATGTTGTAATTTTCCTTAGAAATTCTATACAAAAATAGCTAATTTTTAAGAAAGAGACTTGAATTATTTCAATGAATCTTATAATTTTACATGTTTTTATTCACTTTACAAATAAATAGTTGTCTTATTGTTGAACATGTCTGATTGCACATAGATGCAAAAAAAAAAGACTTGAGCAAAGCAACGAAATATATCCTGAAATGTTTATATGGACTATTGTTCTTATGACTGAAGACGATAGTAAATAAGAACATTGAGTATATGTATATCAACATAACTTCGTAATAGTTCATTCATCAACATAAATGAATGTCATTTGATAATATTGATCAAATATTGGATATTTTTAATAAAGATCATTACATTTCGAAATACAAACGTCCATATGAAGTTTTATTGCTTTTAGACTATGAAAGATATATTAGAAACCAGTCATCAAAAGTGTGGCAGACATTCTTAGCAAGATCTCTCCTTCAATTCAGACTGTAACAGATATTATTGATGTACGATCCAAGATCATATATAAATAACATCTTCTTATAATGTGAGAACTATTTGCTCATTACACATTTCTGGACGATTAAATAAAACGATCTTAAAAAAAATATATTCCAAAAATAGACCGAATAAAATAATCTCCCTATGATTAGCAATATCAACTATATCATATTTCACATTTTTATTTTGCAAGGATTGCAATAACAATGTTTTGTTAGGTTCTCATTAATAATAATCTTAATATAAAATGCACATGATGGTCGTAATCAAAGATGTTTTCACGTAGTTTGTGTAGATGGAAATTCCTTTGTTGTACATACTCGTTTACATGGTGGCGTTATAAGTTTGCTCTTAGAAAAACTCTTCAATAACAATCATTTATCATGTACATATCTATATATATATAAAATGATCTCCGTCATTGAGATGTTAATGAATGAACATCAGCTTATACAGCAATTTATCATGAAAGACTTGGTTGTTTACAAATATTAGTTAAATAGAATGAAAAAATAGATGATGGTGATAATGAAGGCAATAAAGTCAGTTAGAATTTTCAATTATTTAAATTTTAAATTTTAAAACATATTTATGTATAATTTTCAGCTCATCTTACTGCAATGAAAAGTCATTTACCATGTTTAAAATTTATTATTTCCGTAAGTCTGAATATATCAACAATATTAGGAACTCATAATGATCAGCGTGGTACATTAAAATCATTAGGTGAATAATTTTTATGAAGAAAATTGTTTGTAAATATTTTTATGTATTTGAATGAGAAAAAGATAATTTTGAACAAATAGAAGGTAAGCTTCTTATTTCAATTTAGGAATTTAAAAAAAAACATATAGTCAAATATTTTCTTTTTCTTTTTTAAGATCTCACTTTTTCGACACATTACAGAATATAATGGAGATTTTGAACATGTAAAATTATTAGTTGAATTAGGTGCTGTTAATATATAAATGAACGTGATGATCGTGGAATAATATTAGCACATAAAGCACCTAATCCATGACATATTGATATATTACGATGGTTAATTGAGAAATAAGTGCATCTATGGAATTAACAATACAAAGTGGTGAAACCCCCAAAGATGTTACAAGACGTTTTAATCAACTAGGTTATTTAAAATTAATAAGTGGAAAAAGAGAAAATTTTGAAATGAATATAATTCATCATCAGCGTCATCAAAATGAATTTAATCGATGAAAATTAACACCAAAAGAAGAAGAAGAACTTGGATATGTTAAACAAAAATATGAATAATTGCAAAGACAATTTTATATAACAAAGAAAAATTTTCGTGAATCAGGTATACAATTAGAAGAAGATCATAAAAGAGAGACAATTGAAAATGAATCACAAAAATATTATTATTATTAGTTTTTTGTTGTTATAATGAGACAAAAGAAATTCATTTTTTAATGTTGTGATTTTAGAAAAATCGAAGAAGTTCAAGCTCAATTAGAATTTGAAAGATTAAAACAAAAAAAAACATGAATTAGAATTAGATGAATGTCAATATGAAATTGTTCGTTTAATTAATATATTACAATCGATTGAAGAGAAACGATTACATGTACGTGTAAAATTTCTCAATTAAAGAGCAGAAAAAAAGAACTATTTTTAAAATTTATCATTTTTGTTTTGATTATTTTAGTAACGATCATCGAGTGAAAATTGTCAGCATAAACATAGAAAACCATTATCAACTTCAAGCAAACAATCATGGAGAATAGAAAAAGAAATAGGAATGTATTTATAGATAGAAATTCTGTCAATTCTTGATAAGGCTTTTTCTGTTTTTGTTGTAATATAGAAAATTTATAAAAGTTGCTTCTGTCGTAGTTGAATTTTCTGACATGAAAATTTTTATTTAAAATCATTATTTAATTTATTTAATAAAATATGGAACAGTTACATTAATCATCCTATTTCGAATGATTTCATTCGATCAAAAAAGAATCTGATTTCATTGAACTATGAATTACAACAAGCGAGACTAACTTTTTTTGGTATCGGTCTTGAATAGACAAACATGAATAGAAGCGGAAAATGTACTTTCATTTTCTAGGAATGTCAACAAGCTCGAGATATTTTACATGAATCTAATGACTTCTAATAACTCTGCTGTTTACGAAAAACAAAAAGAATTATATTATTATCAAAATTATACGAGCAAATATTAAAGTAATCGTTAATCAATGATTTTTGTATACACTTAGAATTGGAGGTGTAAGCCAACAGGTCGATCGTCGGCGGCTTAGAGTCTTTACTGATACGGCGGCGGCTTAGAGTCTTTACTGATACGGCGGCGGCTGGAAATTTCAAAATTGAATAATTCTTTAGATGATAAGAAATGTCTGTTTATTTCAATATCTGATTATTAATAATTTCAAAAACCTAAATGAAATAATTGTACATCGCACGTTAGTTTAATTAAGACATTACATGTAGGCAATATGGAGAGGAGTAATGAATTACTACTCAGCTTTGTCCGAAATTAAGAGATCTAGTGATTCCAAGAAAAGACAGACTTAATGGATGTATATCAAGATGTCAAAGAACTTGCCCACTTTAGTTTTTAATGATAGAGTCTAAAAGACTATCTCTACAAAACATTAATTTTGATCCATGTCCGAGCTGTTGTTTTAATTCAGCAGCTTTTGTTGTATAGCAGCTTGAAGAAAAGAGGGAGGCTATATACTAATTTGTTGGTTTGGTTTGCTTAGTTTTTCTCATTTCATAGGTTGCTACTAAGAAATTTGTCATATTGCCTGTGCCTCATGCATCACTGTAAACACTACGTCTTTTTTGATTGAGGATGAACTATCATATATTTGTTCAGATTTTCATTTATCGATACAAATTTTGCAATAAACTTGTTGAATATAAAACATTTCATTCGCTCTTTTGTATATGTGACGCAAATGACAGCAAGCAAATTATCAATTATCGTTTTAGTACATTCAGTGGCTTTATTAGAGTAAAAAGACTTTTATTAAAATTATGAAAATTCGTTATATCGGGTAATAGATTCAGATACACATCAAACTCAAGCCACCTACATTAATAAAAGTGCTTTACACTTCTATTGTTCCGGATACAGAGTATTAATGTTTCATAGATATAAACAACCGAAAAAGTTAAGAAGAAATTTAGCGGTTCAAAAACAAATGAAAATAGATAAAAAAGCGTTTTTCGCATTCCGATTTCCGCGGCGGCGGCGGCGGCGGCTCGAAGTTTCAAAAATTTTTCTTACTAACGGCGGTGCAGCGGCTGTATATGCTGTTGCTCAGCGGCGACAGCTTAGAAATTCTTAAAATTTTCCTCTCCACGGCGGCGGCGACGGCGGCTCAGCCGCACGGCTTACACCTCTACTTAGAATATATGAGTTGTAGCAACTAGGGGTGCATCAGCTCAAGCTCAAAAGTTCAGCTGAGCTGAGCGAAAAAGCTGTTCGCCCGTTCATTTCGGTAGGAGCTGATTGGTTTGAACAGCTCCTTTCAAAAGAGCTTATCTGATCAAACAGTTCTCGTTCCTGAACTGAACTTTTTCAACAGCTCCGTTCAAAGGAGCTGATCTGATCAAACAGCTCTCGTTCCTGAAC